TCCTTCCATCCTATATCTTCCTCCCTACCTCCCTTCCTCCTTCCCTCCTCCCTTCTTTCCTTTTGTCCTTCCTCCTTTCATTCCTTCTTTCCTTCCCTCCTATATCTTCCTMCCTCCCTTCCCTCCTTTCTTCCTCCCTCCCTCCCTTTCTTCCTTCCTTCCTTCCATTCTCACTCCCTCCCTTCCATCCATCCATCCTCCTTACCTCCCTTGATTGTTTCCTTCCTACGTTCCTCCCTCCCTTCCTTCCTTTCTTCCTTCCTTCCTCCCTCAATCTCTCACACACTCACTTCCACTTTCCCTGACTTGTTCTGTCCATTGTTCTTTGCAGTGCAAAGCATTGTATTACTGCGTTAAAGAAAGCATGCAGCGAGCGGCAGAACGACTACAAGCCACAAACAAAGGTAATGCAAGGAAGTTTGATTACAATCCGCTGGATGGCAAAGGAATGACCCGTAACGACTTYACAGTGACCCTACCAAGCGCAGCGCCTCTAGCGACGATTACTGTGAAACTACGACTACTATACGACTCCTTTACGACTCCTTTACGACTTATCAACGATTACTTTACGACTAGTCCGCGACTATTCTACATTTTTACAAGTTCCATGTTTGTATTATTGCTTACTATTTTTCCGTTGTGATTATTTTGTTTTGTGTTGTGTTGTAGTTGTTGCTCATTTCCAAGAGAGCAAAACTCTTTTGTTATGTTTCCCAGATGAAGCTATATCACATCCAATTGGCCGTGTTTTTATGTCTTTGAATTGTGCTGAACTTTCTTGATTTAAACAAACGTAACTGACACTATCACTGTTTATGTTTACAGAAGTTAAACTGGCGCTAACACAAACACGACTGAATGACGAAATGTTTACGAAATGTTGCAAGAACACTACTTGACTTGAAACAACTAGCAAACTGATTTGCAATTTAAAGCGCATTGTGGTTTATTATTTACATGATTATGTTGACATTAAATTAGATATTGATTGTATCTATGGAGAACTAAAATATGATGATAATGATGATAATGATGATGATAATGATGATGATAATGGTGATGATGATGATGGTGATAAATTCCATTTTATACTGAACAAATCTCTTTCAATTCCGTCCAGGTCCTCAGCTAGGAGGCGACTTCCCAATCCAGGTACAGCAAACCATTTCATAAGTCATGTTTAATTCTGTATACCCTGCGAACAGAGTCTCCTTTACGTCCGGGCAAGTGATGTAAAACTCTCTTTGCAGGGGAAGCTACTGTACAATGTCTTTTGTCTATACAGGCTGTTTTACACACAAGTGACTATTCCCTAATTTTTCTTTTTTGTCATTTCTTTTCACAGGATATGGAAACGGGTGAAAACGGTCATCTCCAAGTCACCCTTGAAGGCATTGGTCTGAAGTTTTGCACAAAAAGAGTAAGGAAGATACTGCTCTCTGCTGAAATCTTTTATGATATTATCCATGGTATCTATGTCCGTGCATTGTCGTTCATTCTGTCGCCGTCAAAAAGAAGTTGTCGTTGTTTCAGAGTAACTATACCCTCTCTGTAGAGTCAAGAACTTCGACTGAACATTTTACGCTTAGAATTGTCGTTTCTAACGCTGTTAACGTGGCGTTTAATCGTAAAAATACACTGCAGTCTTGAAATACACAGTAGACGCCAAACGTCAAAATTGATCTGTATTTTCTGTATTAACGCTCCGTTCTTTCGCGATTGTGTATAAAATAGATCACTTTTTCGTGTATAAGCGCATCACAATTCCTTTC